GCACCCCCAGCAGCGAGCGGGCTACTCGCCCCCAGAAAGCCCACCGCACTGGGGCAGGAGGAGGCTGCGGCCCGGCGCCGAGCACGGGCGGGACTTCGGAGGCCTCGGTCGCCGGGGGCAGGTGGAGCCCTGTATCCTTCCCGGCAGCCGGCCAGAGGCGACGTCGGGTACACGCTACTTAGGGAGAGAGGACGACGGGACCCCTGGTAGTTCTCGATATACCCCTGGCAGGGTAAGGATGGCAAGCGTCCTAAGGAAGGCCTCTCCCCACAAGTCCACCCTCGCGCCGCCGGCTTCTCGGGTTTGTGGGGCCTCCCAAGGAAGGGAGCCTTTAGGGAAACTAGGTGTGCTTCTCGGGCTTCCCGAGGCGAGCCGTCTTTGGACCCATCCTACGTGTTGCTGAGACCCTCTCCACAGCCGGGCGGCTCAGAGCAGGCATGGACCAGGACGGGGAGTCAGTCCTGCTGCTGAGATTGTGGGGAGACAGAGCGGAAAACTCACCCCGTTGGAGGGCACCCAATGTGCCCCTCTGTGCATCTATTTCACCCCGCAACCCAGGACAAATCATTTCCAAGTTCCAGCCACACAAGCACCCGCGAGGAGGAGATTCCCGCGAGACGGCACGCAGGGCCTTGACACTGACACCAGGACACGAGGTCTTTCGGGACCAGGCTCGGTTCCATCGCCCGGCCCCCGACCGCGGTGACCCGGAGTTTCTGCCTCTCTCCCTGCTCACGGGGGCCCCGGGATGGGCGGCTTAGCAGCGGCTCCGGGAATGAGGTCCAATTCGCCCCTGGTTTGGTTCAGGCGGCGCGCGCGAGAGAGGCTGGTCGTCCTCCAGCCCCAGGTGCATCTGCGGATGAGTCGCAGTGCTCAGGCGTAGCCTGGCTTTGCCCTCTCCCCCGAATGCCCTGGGCGCTCACGGGCTCCCCCGCACACCTATGTACTGAAAGACAGCCACCTTCCCGAGGCGCACGTCCGCGCCGTCTATGCACACCAGCGCGTTTTTTCACTCTCTTGCGCACGCACACTTTCTAACTTATGCCTTTTCTCCCACTACATCCTCACAGACTGGCTCGCTGTCCCCCTCCAGAGCGTCAGCTTTGAGTGTCCAGAGGACGGAAGCTGTAGCGCTGAGTGGGAACCCTAAAAAAAGGAGGGGCCCGGTCTTGAGTCCAATTCCTCCTCTGTCCTTCCTCACCTGTCCCTAAACACAAAAACATTCACATCTGTCTCTTCCGAAGCCTTGGTGCCATCCCGGCAGGAGGTGGGCACTGGGGTCGTGGAGGCTGAATTTGCTGCCTCCTGGCTCCAAGTCCCCACTTGACTGGTCCCTCTTTTCTACAAAGATGTGATAACCGAGGTGTGAGTAGCCCAGTGTTCTCTCCCCAGATATCCTTGGCTCAGTTTAACCTTTCCTGGTGCTGCGGAGTGCCATCACCACCAGCTCCCCAGGAGGGCCACCTCTTCCTTGATATGCAGGGGGCGCTGGGGCTGGGGCTGGGAGGAGACTGATCAGGACGCATTGCACACCCCACGTGCTCCCTTCTGACCTCTGTAACTGTGGGCTTTTACTCCCCCCAAGTAGATTTCTTTCCTTCGGTCTAGACAGCCGCCCCTGAGGGCTGGGTTCCTCTTTCATTTGGTTTTGCCCTCGAAGGCCGCGTGGACATGGAACCTGGTTGGCAATAAATGAAAGGCGTCTGGTAGTGAACTCGGTCAGTGGAGCAGAAAGAGGATCTCCGAGCTTCCAGCCGCTGCGTCCCTTTGGGTAGCCAGAGAAAACCCCATGGCTTACACGGTTGCCACGGAGGGGATGGGAGTGGAGGAGGGATGAGGAATAGAGGAGGGGTGACAAGCCACTGGGAATCCTGTTCGGTGGACACCTACAGAGAACGATGTTATTCACCGAGCAACGTCTGTGTGATGTTACCTCCAGTTGGAGTGCTCTGGTTGGGGCAGCAGGCTGGTTTGTAGCGGGTGAGGGAGTAGCTGCTCAGATTTATTTCCAGAACTTCTGTATAGTCCCTCTCCCCCTTTTAAACAAATATTTTCGGGGTTAGCTTTCCAAGGGGAGAAAAAGGGAAGTTGCAACAAGTAGAGCCGCTATGCCGGGATTCGCTTTACCGAGTAAAGCCTGGGGACCGGCATCCCGCCCCCTACTGGTGGGTGAGAGTTCAGGGCAAATTACAGAGATCCCACCTGGGCAGGCCGAGGTGGGATTCCCAGCTAGCTACCGCCTCTGGCTGGGACTATCTCCTTCTTTGGGACCAAGCAGCTCGGTGCAGAGGCCTTCCCAGCAAGCCACGCTGCAGGGTCGGGCCCTGGCCCCTGCAGGTTGAGGGGCAGGGGCTGGCTGCTAGCAGGGGCACCAGTGTGTGGTCCTGGGGAGAAGCGCGATGTGTATGCATTTGTGTGTGTGTGCAGACGCATGCGGGAAGGGTTCATCTGTGCATGTATCTTGCATATGTATTCGTGGGGGAGAGTGCCTGAGGACACGTGTTTGCGTGTGTGAAAATGGGTTGAGGTTTGTGTATACTTGCTTCTGTGTGTATTTGTGTGCGTGCAGGTGTGAACATGTGTGTGACAGAGTCTGTGTTTCCCGGAGCTGCCGCTATGTATGCCATGTCTGGCACATAGCAGGCTCTCAATAATTGTGAATGGAGTTAATATTAAATGTGTATGTTCGATCTCCTTGTGAATTTTGATACAGAGTCTGTTTTCCTAAGACTGTAAGACTTGAAAATGGAGGTTGGGTAGGGGCGATGTGGGATATAGGAGCTTCTGCTTGCCTCCTCCCCAGAAGTAAGCACGGAGAAGAGGACTCTGGCACCGCTGGGGGGGCGGGGGCGTCACCAAGTCCTGTCTGGGCAGCTCGGCTGACGCAAAGCGGTTTCGCGTGTCACTTGAGTCTCTCCAGACCCTCAGGCAGTAGCCGGCTCTTCTCCCTGCCAGTCAGTGGAACTTGGGCCGCTCTGGCCTTACAAGTACAGACCAGTTTTTGGGAGGACCTGAGTTGTCCCCTGACTGCAGAACGTCCAGGAGAAGCTGCGTGAGCTGCCGGGGCTGGAATTCCTCTCGGAGTGTAGAGGTAGAGGGGCGCTTGGTGTGGTCCAGGCGGAAGACTCCAGTCACGCTGAGGAGTCCCAGCCTCCCGGGTATCCCCTTGCCCTCTAGGCCAGCACAGAGCGAAGACCCAGGTGTAGTCTATCGCACCAAGTTAGCCCGCCTGTCTGCCCGCGTCTGCGCGGATCCTGACTGGCAAGGAATTCTTGTTAGCAAGTCCGAGTGAAAAGGTCTTCTGATTTTACCCCAATTTTACCAGAAAGCGCTGATGTTACCAGAAAGGAAAAGTCCCGACAGGTTCCAGCGCTCTACGACCGCAGGGCCCGATGAGCACCTCATCTCTGTCCTTTCCGTCGTGGAACTGCAGGCCTGGCCCGCAGCGTCCTGGTCGCGGAGGAGGGACGCGTTCAGTACCTACAGCCACCGCGACCCGAGACGGAAAAGCCTCAACTTCCTCGCGGAGTCCTGCCAGCTTCGGATCTGCCCCGACCGGCTTAGATGTGTCGCTTCAAAAGGGGCTGGAATCCCAGAGGGGAGAGGACGCTGTAGTTAATTTACAGCCATAGGCGAACCGACAGCGCAAGATACGGAGGCGTCCCCTCGCCTGACCCTCGACGCGCGCCCCGCTGCCCCAGAGTCTCCTGACTTCTCTCCTCCCCTGTCCTGTCATCTCCACTGCAAACCTACAGAAGCACTGCGTGCAGGGTTGCGAGCTCGGAGACCTTTGCTCCACGGCTACACACGCTGCCGCTCCAGCTGCGCGCCTGGAGCTGAAGTCTCAGTGGCTGCTCCTGGGGTCCGCGAATCTGCCCTGCGCATTGCGCCACATTCCGGGGACCGTGACCACCGCCAAGGAGTCTGCCTATCATGAAATTTCCGTGGCCTGATTTGTTTCCCAGCCTCGGCATCTCCAAACGCACGTACCCGCGCCCGGCACTCAGTCTGTCATCGCCCACCCCGACCGACGCCGGAGGTGAAGAGGCGGGCACGGGCTCTTCCTCGCGACTGGTGTGAGAGTGGAGCAAGCCGCCTCCTCCCCGTTTCCGCAGGGAGTTTTCCCGGACAAGAAAAGGGACTGAGGGCTTGGGGGGAGGAGTTTTCAGAGTTCCCACTCCCTTCACCCTCCGATAGATACACGTGCGTTGTGCGTGGGAAGCCGACTCCTGGTTTTAGGGATTCACCGGAGCATCGCGACCCAGAGCGGCCGTCCGGGGCGTGGAGTCTGCAGGGAAATCAGACACTGCTGCACTCCCGGCCCGCGGGCCTCGTGGCATATATCCATATATATTTATGATTTCTAATTTTATTATAAAATAAAAGCAGAAATATTTCCCGAAGAACATTCACATGAGGGTGTAACAGGCAAGTCCTTGGCTCGGGAGGCACGTTCTGCAGGGAGCGCTGTGGCCACTGTCCCGGGAGGGCGCAGGGCGCAGCAGGGCGGGCCTCGCTGAGAGAGAGGGGCGAGCAGCAAGGGGCGTGCAGGGGCTTTTGTGGCGCTGCTCTTTCTCTTTCACTTAAGTTACTAGGCGAAAAGCTGACACCTGCAGCTCCTACTGACCGGGGGCTGGGGCCTCTGGGAAGGGCTTAGGTTCAAAGGTCCCGTCTTTCCTCTGCTCTTCCCCTTCCCAACCCCCATTCCGGGAAAGTGAAGGACGGGGAAGGGGCCGATAGACGGCGGGACAGGAGGAGAAAGACTGAGAGCACAGACCGAGGGGCCGGGATACAGACTGCAGGAGACTGGCAGGAGAGGAAAAGGGGGGCGGGGGGGGGGAAACAAAACGTAGAAACTAGTGAGAGGTGGCAAGCCAGAAATTCAGACGGAAACGGAGACAGAGAACAGGGGGGAAGCAAGAGAGGGAGAGGGAGAAAAGAGAAGGCAAAGAAAGAAAACAGGGAGAAAAGAGAAGAAAGGGAAGGGAAGGCAAGGCAAAGCAAGAGAGTGGAAAAGAAAGCCAGAAGGAGAGGAAGGGGAGACAGGGAGAGAGAGAATGAGAGTGCTGTATAATTTATTCCCTTCCCTGGTCCAAGACCCAGTCCCTGGCCCCCCAAAAATGTCAAAAGCAACTTGTTGAAAATAAATCTCGACCAAGGACCTAAACAGCCGCCCACCCTGCCCTGGCTGGCGGTCCTGCCTGCTCAGGGTGGGGGCTTTCAGTACCTGGTGGGGCCGCCGACATGGGCGCCCTCCCAGCACCGCCTGTGTCAGGTCCCCAGCGCCAAGCCCGGAAGGCAAGCGCGTCGAGGCGAGCGGGGCTCTAGGAGCCCAGGTCCACGAGGTTGGCCGACATGGGGTTGAGGATGGAGTCCTGCAGGCCGTGGTGATGCTGCAGTGGGTCCGCGCCGCCTCCGCCCGGCACGGGCACGGGCACTGCGCTGGGGCCCGGAGGGTGACCCAGGCTGTGCAGGGACGGCAGCCCGGGTGGCCGCGGCGGGCTGAGCAGCAGCGCAGGGCTGGACGACGAGTGGTCTGGCGTCCCCGACGGCGTCTTCTCGTCCTCCGAGCTGCCTAGCACCGACTTGCCGCTGCCGTTCAGCGACGAAGCCAGCGGGTTGTGGCTGTTGGAATTGGAATTCTCGCTGTTCTCCCTGCAAGTGCAGGAGCAAAGCAGCCGGGTCAGCGCGGAAATCCAGGCCGCTCAACTCCAGCTCACCAGAGACTGGGCCAGAACTTGCCACTGGCCTTGGGAGACAGAGCCCCCGCGCCGCCTGCGGCTGATCTCGGCTTCTGCCATCTTCTCTGCCTGGTTCTTTCTGCCAGTTCTCTCAATCTCTCGATGCTAGATTTCTCTCTTGTCCCTCCACTGTATCATCTCTATCTCCCCACCTCTCCATCTTATGAATATCTCTACTGCTCTCTGTATTTCCTGCTTCCTCACCCCAACATTTCTTTCCAGGAGCAGAGGGACAGAGGAACAGGGCTCCCTGGATTTGAGGGGATAGGCAGGGTAGAAGAGAAAATGTCTGGATTTTCAGATCACTCTAGGCTCCTCAAGCCAGGTGTGCTGGGTAGAAGTAGGGCCAGGAGGATAAGGGACTGTAGATCCCATTCTGAGGCCCCGTTTGAATTTGGGCTTCTCACGGGCCTTCATTCCCCCTTGCTTTCTCTGCCTGAGGGAAACCCTGGCTGGCAGACAGGCTCCTGGGGCTAAGGGTCCTTTCGCTCTACCTCCAAGCTGGGTAGGCCCCGTGAGGGCTCTCCTTGCAGGGCCTAGAGAAGAGGCTCCAAGGATGGGGGACTCCCTTTCCCTGGTGGCACATTGGAAACTTCAGCTGGGGGACCGCAACCGGGAGGGGGGTGCAATGGAGGGCAGCCCGTGGAAGAACAGAGAAGGGAGAAGGAAGGGAGGGGCTTGCTAGTCCTTTCTAGCCTAGACTTTTCCATCATAACCAGAAACTCCAGGACTGAAGAATCTGCAGCTCCGACTTGGGGTCTGGCCTGAGAATCCAGTTCTTCAGGAATCTGGATGCATGCCAGTCTGGGTGGAGGGGGAACCAGCAGAGAGAACCCATCTCCTGCCCTGCCTTTGACTGACAGCCCCTGCCCAGAGTTGGATATTTGAAATCCTGGGTAGAATCTCTTTTCAACGGCTTCCCAAAGGCTTTTCTTCCCGCTTTCCTGGAAGGGAACTTCCCAGAGGCTGGCAGCTAAAACCTCACCACTATGGAGACTCCAAACTCGTGGTCTCAGATACCAGGGTCCAGCCTGCAGGACCCCACTTCCGGCATCTGTTTCCACTGTTCAGCACCCTCACCGCTGACCCTGATCATTCAAACACCCCATCGTACCAACCTCAGGTGTCCTGTTTTGCTGTTACTCTCAGGCTGGATTCTGTTCCTAAGTTTCTCTCCCATTTCCCTCTCCAAATTTGGGGTTCTGAGGGGCTACAGGGCAGGTAGTCACAAGGGTCTAAAGGTCAACCCTTAGGCTAGTTCAGGAAGTCCCTGTTTTCCTGAGGACATACAATTTCCAGCCTTTCTGTGGCTCTCAGCTCACCCCAGACATACCGACCTACTCACCACAGAGGCTAGGGCCTAGGAGAGATGGGTCAAGGGCCTGGAAGGCCAAGAAAGGGCTGCTGGGTCCAACAAGGCAGAAAAGGGGGCATGTGTTTCTCTTCTCTCCCAGAGGCGACACTTCCTCCCTGGAGCCTTTCACCACTTGGTCCTTTCTATGCGGGATAAAGGACTAGCTCTCAACTCCCATACCTAGACAGGGAACATTTCTGCCCAGGGCCTTCCCCATCCAGGTCATATTAGGGAAGTTCCACTCGCAGTTCTGACCCTTAATCACACTTTGGCCTGAAAGAAGGCTGAGGAGAAGTGCGGGGAAACACAGCAAGACAGAAATCTGCCACCCGCTTCCACCTGGACCCAAACACCTCTGTACTTGGGAGGACAATCAAGCCCTGCCGGCCGTGCCTACTATTTATACAGGGGATCCAGTCCCTGAATTCTGCCCTCACCCCAAAGCTCTCCGCTCCTTCACTTTTGTGCACAAGCGACTAAGGAGTTAGTTGACAATTTCCCGGATTACTCTGCCCGCTTTAGACAAATCTCTGCCTGCCCGGCCTCCAGCAAAGACCTAAGCGCCATCCGGGTCCGGCTAGTCTGCAGCTGGGCTGTGGGGACTGGAGGCCCAGTTTAGGCCTCTCCGAGGGGTGGGCCAAAGCCCTGAGACCCCCTCCCTCGGCCCGGGGAAGCCAGCGCGGAAGCTCTACTTACTCGTACCTTTCCTTGGCCTCGGCCGCCCGGTCGCGCTGTCGCCGGTTCTTGAACCAGTTGCTGACCTGCGTGGTAGTGAGGCCCGTGGCCTCCGCCAGCTCGCGCTTCTCGCGGGGTGACGGGTAGGGGTTGTGCGCATACCACTCGCGCAGCACGCTGCGACTCTTTTCCTTGAAGCAGTAGCTGGTCTCTTCTCCGTCCCAGATGGAGCGCGGCAGCGGGAACTTGCGGCGCACGCGGTATTTGCCCACGGCGCCCAGGGGTCGGCCGCGCAGCTTCTCCGCCTCGATGTAGTGCGCCTTGAGCCACAGCTGCTGCAGCTTGGCGTGGTTGTGCGGCGAGAACTGGTGGCTCTCCAGGATCTTGTAGAGCTCGCGGAAGTTGCCGCGGTGGAAGGCCACCACGGCCTTGGCCTTGAGCACGCTTTCATTCTTGTGGAGGTGCTCGCAGGCGGGCAGCGACCACAGGAAGCGGCCCAGCCGCTCGATGTTGCCGCCCTGCTGCAGCACCTCGCACACGCACGCCACTTGCTCCTGCGTGAAGCCGAAGGTGGGCAGCATGGACATGGT